GGCCCAGGCCCACTCACCGCGCCCGCCGCCCTCGCCCACCGCGCGCCTCTCGCGCTGCCGGAAGCGCGGGCCGCGCGGTTCGTGGGCGCCGCCGCGGTCGCTCTAGGAACCGGGCGGAGCGACCCTCTATGGTTTGGGGCCCACCTCGGCGTGAGTTCGTTTTTTCTTGGGACTGTTTGTTCCCTCTCCCACCCTTCGCGAGGCGTTGGTGACCTCAGGACCACCGACGGTGGCCACCTCTTCCTGTGGTCGAGGAGCGGCCTCCAGGGCTGGCAACCATGGCCCGTGTCAGGGGGAGTCCAGCCTCAAAGCGGCGTCATTTCTACCCACAGTGAGCAACTTTCTGTAGATACTGAGTATTAAGAGAGACTTCTAGAGAGCCTAAACTGTTTCTGATATGTTCGTGAGTCACATTATTTATCTCCCCAAAGCTCCTGCAAGATGAGTATGAGCATACTCTGTTATCAGAAAAGAGAAATCTGGTCAAGTGCACAGTTAGTGGAGGATCCAGGATAGGCCCAGGTCTTCCCAGCTCCAGAGACTCTTCATTTTCAGTGCACCCTCTTGTTTCTCTAGTTCTCTTGGTTCTCCTCCTTTGTGCAGTCCATTATTTGTCCTCCCCGCCTGGGTCCCTCATTTCCCTGGAAACTATCAGTCTAGTGGCTTCAAATGCCATCTCTATATACTGAGGACACTCACACTGGTAACCCCAGCCTCTTCATGGGATGTAAATACTATTGAATTACAGATTTGTTCACCTGATTGATGACTCAACAGCCCCATTTGCAGAATAATGGATATCCCAAACCTAACACATCCCAAACTGGACTCTTGACCTTCCTCCAACTTGTTCCTTCCATGGTCCATCCCAGCAACTCCATCTTTTCAGTCGTTCAAAGCAAAAACCTTGATGTCATTGTTCTCTCTCCTTTTTTACCCAAAGCCTACATTCAGTTCATCTGCAAATTCTGTTGAGTGTGCCTTCAAAATAGAATCAAGCCACTTTCCTCTACACTGCTGTGCCATCCACCAAGACACCATAGCTTCCTGTGTGCACTGGCCACCTGACTGGTCTTCCCACTCTGTTCAAGGCCCAGAGTGATCTCTTAAAACTCAAACCAGATCTGGGAATTCACCAAGGGCTTCCCAACTCATTAGAGGAAAGTCAATGACCCGACAGTGGTACTTGAAGTCCATCATGATCTGTCTTTTTGTTCTTTGTTGTGTCTGCAGTGCTAAGAACAGTGCTCAGCAGGTAACAGGCACTCAAGAGTTATTTGTTGAATGCATGCATTTATAAAATGCATCCATTGTCTACAAAGTGCCCGTATCTTTTCCCTGATCATTCATCTTTACCAAAATCAGGGATCATAATTACTGTCTTGCAAATCAGTAAAATGAGGCAAGTGAGGGAGACTTGCCTGAAGTAATACACCAAGTGATGGCAGAGGCTAGACAAGATCAAAGGCTCTTCCTTTCAATCTGGGGCTTTCTTCTCTGTGAGGGAGCTGCCTCTGCAGATGGCAAGGCAAGATATGGAATAAGAGCTGGACAAGGAAGTTTAACCCCAAAAATTGAGATAATATCTGAACTGTTGTAGAGATTAAATGAGAGGATGTGAGACTTTAGCACAATGCACAACACAGTAAGAAATGTGAGCCATTGTTATTACTTTGATTGTTAAATTATTATTACAAATTGTTGGTGCTGGTGGTTGGAGGGATTAGAGGTGAGGGACAATAGCCAGAGATGGTTTGGAAAAAGTTTCAAGAGTAAAAATGACCGGTTGGAACTGATTACTCTGTACATTCAAATAATAAGATAATTGTATTTCAAAAATATTTTGTGAGTGAGCTAGTCATGAATTAAAACTACTAATTCCATGTCTTCATTAAGGTGGATTATCTCCTTTTCTCAGTACTGAAAGTAACTGGGCCAGGTGCAAAAGGCCCAGAGGTATAGATCACTGGGTAAAGAAAGATGAATTTTAAAAGGGAGAGAAGAAAGTCAAGAAATAAAGGAATGTGGTGGCTAAGAGTAGACAGGGTAGGAGGTAAGGATGGAGTGAAAGAGGCAGAAAAGGATATGGAGGAGAAGGAAGGGAGGGAGGATAAAAGAGAAAAAGAAAAAGAGAGAAAATGGGCACAGTATTATACCTTCAATTTATTAGTATAATAGTAGTTACCACTGGGGATCAGCAGGTGGTTAAGGTACTGGACTCCCACATGGCCATCTGTGGTTTGAGTTCTGTATCTGGTCACTTGAAACTCACTTGGGATGTGTGTGGATATGTGCCCAAAATCCCGAGAAGAATGGAGGAAAAGGGTTTGCAGCATGGCCATCCCCCCGGGGGATGATTTCTCACTTTCTTTCTGTCTCTCTGGTGAGTGCATGTGGTCTGTAGCAAAAATCTCTCTCTCTCTCTCTATATATATATATATATATACACACACACACACACACACACACACACACACTAGTTAACACTGAATCACTGAATGTTTATTGTGTGCTAGGCCCTATTTGAAGCACTTGTATTATCTCATTTAATATTGCCTGGTATGATTGTTCCTGAGCATTTGCTCCCTGCTTCTCTGATTTTATACTCCTGCCCACATCCCATGACTCTCAGTGCCACCTGTGAATGCATACCCCTTCCACTGGTGTTGACTTTACCATGTGACTTGCACTGGCCAATTGCATGTGAGTGGATATGAGGTGTGCCCTGTTCAGAAGAAGCGTCGAGTCACCTGTTTCTGCCAGCCTGTACTCGTCCCCTCTGCCTCGAGAACAGCAAGTTGCAAGCCAAGGGTGCTCCTTTAGCCCAGGACCCAGGATGAGAAGACACATGGAGCAGAGCCACCTATGCCCACCCGGAGCCATTCTAGTCCCATTAACATGTGAAAGACACAGATGATCTTGTATGACCCTGAGCTCTTTGGTGGTGTTACTGCAGTAAAGCTGCTGGCTCCAGACAACCTTAAAATAAAGCAGTGTTGTTATCCTTATTTTACAGATGAAGAAACTGAGGCAAGTACCTTGCCTAGGATCACACATTTATAAGTGGCAGAGCCAGGTTCTGAAGCCAATCTTAACCTATAAATACCAGTGTACCTCTCACGTAGGATTCTAGATTATTTTTAAGCAAATTAAATAATTGAAAATGGTCATACATGATACTTACAAAACACAGAGGAGAAAGGACAGCGCAGGGATGATCCGGTCTGGGCATCTAACAGTACATCTTTCTGGGGCATCTGGGCCAAGAGAGGCCAGATCCTTGGGTGACTGGGGCTTCTCTAGGAAACTGCCCTGCAGGGCTCAGTGTGCCCTGAAACCAATGGTATTTGAAAGGTTCTTTCTAGGAAGAAGAGTCTTCTTGGGGGAGATAAACTTTGGCAATATAGTTTCCTCTTTGCATGGCTTTGTCTCCTGCACCCCCACTGCCTCACAGATACATATACGGACATGGGCTTGCACACATACACACATGGAAGGAGGCAGGGAGCACTGCCGCCTTGGGTCTGTGTTTGGCAACACCAAGTGCAAGTCACCAGTGTGTCCCTGATGCAGTAGCAGGCGTGGTCCATCGCCCACGAGGGGGCCCCCTCAGCAGTGGGACCCTGGACAATGGCTCTGTCCACCAACCCGAGACTTTGCTTTTTGTTTCTTTTGGGCTCTCTGGGAAAGGAAGCCCTGGGAATTCCCATTCCTGGCTCTGCAGAAAATAGCTCTGTCAAAGGCCACACAGAAGGGCACACATGCGCGCTGTGAGTCTCAGGCACATCAGAGCTGGCTTGCTCCCAGGCACTCGCAGCTCGTGGGCCTAAATATAGCACGTGCGTCTGGCTGTTTTTACACTCGGAGCTGCTTGGCTCTGACTAGCTGGGCTTCCTGCCTTATCAGGGCTGAGGGGCTGAGGGCGGCGGGGCTGCTGCCCACCACTGCACCTGACGAGGATGTCCTGCTCCCTCCTCCGCAGCTGCAAGGTGCCTGCTTCCCCAACGCTCAGGGCAGATTTTGCATCGCTGGTTCCTCCATAAATCACCTAGTTGCACTGGATTCGCCTCAGGCCTCGTTTCACTAAGAAGCCAGATGTATCCTGGGTGAATGTGTGGCTTTATTTTGACAGCGATAAAGGCTTTAATGCATTCTCTGATAAACAGTTCCAGCAGGTAGCGTACGGTTATGACCGAGGAAAAACAAGCTGTTTTTTTGATCCCTTCTGGTAATTTGTTCTGGGCAAACAACCTTGTTTTTCCTGAGGCCAGTCCTTTTGCAATCATGTTGATTTCACCCTGTGCTGTTTATTATTCTCTCTGGTTCCCGAGGCCTGGCCTGGGAAGATAGTTCTGTTTTAGGAGATGACCATTTCTGACAGGGACCCATGCTTTATCACTGGGTACCTTTATGACCTATGAGACTAGTTAGCCAGGAGCATATAAGAAATATTGTAGGCTCTGTGGAGAAAGCAAGGTGGGGTTCCCACATAAACCAGCGGGAACACACAGGCCAGCCCCTAACTGACACAGTGGTGGGGTGAGCTGAACCAGCAGCTTTCCAGGTGGCCTCTGAAAAGCAAGGATGGGGTGGATAAAAGATTTGTGAATCCTCCGATGATTGCAGAAGAGAGGGCATTTTCCCCTTTTCTGTGCGATTTGCAAGAGATTTTTTTTATATAAAGCTATAATATTCGGAAATTCATTTTGATAATATCTATTTCAAAAGGCTTTACACAATATTTTAACAACCACAAAACTAAACACAACAGGCCCATGCTTACACAGTTTCCTGCTTTGATGGCGGGCAGGTGTGCACCACTAGCCTACACCACCACACGCAGCCTCAGACCTCCTTCTCAGGAGCTCTCCTGTCCCTGCTTGCCTGGGATCCTGACCCTGTCTGGTATACCAGCCTGCTTCTCCTGATCCGGTAGACCCTGAACGCAGGGCAGACCATGGCCGTCTTTGTCCCTCTGAGGCTGAGCACAGGCTGGGCACAGGCAGTCCATCTATTACTGCCAAGTAGATGGAAATTTATTCTAATCCTGCAGTTGTAAATATGGGCTGGGAAGTCAAATTTCCTGGGGAGGCCCTGTCTGATTCACTTTTCACTTTTTTTAGGCTCTGCCTCCAACCCATATGAGCCCCTGCCTGGAAGATTCCTGAGACCTTCTGATGCTTAAAAGCGACTCTATCTCTCACAGTCTAGGGTCCCTCAGGCCTCCACTAGTGACTTCTCCTCGATGTCTGCCAGCTGCCTTGCCTCAGGCCCTACCCCAGTCCCCAGGATGTGCTTGGACCTGGAGTTGTGTCAAGGACAGTGGGCTGGAGGTCTTCTGCCTCGGCTCCTCCGCCACTCACAGCCACACACACTGCAGGATGCAAGTTGCTGAGGTTAGAGCAGGTCAGATGGGCACAAGACGGAACAAGAAAATGAAAGCTTTGTCCTCACTTGTTCAGTTCAACACAGCATGCTTTTATTCAGCACCTGGGAAACTACGTTGCCAACGGAGAGTGGACCCAGCAGAGCTGTGGGCAGGCCTCTGCAGCATGAAGGAGCTGGGTCGGGGCACCCGGGGAAGGCTGCACCCGGCTCGGTGAGCCCGCGCTCTGCTCCGTGAGCCCCCACGTGCAGGCCAGATGGACTCTCGCCTATCTTCAGAAGTCTTTACGGTTCTTTCCCGGTTCTTTCCCTTACATCCGCCATCCACAGACCCCAGTGGGAGACGATCTGGCCTTCACTCTTCTCGTTCTGGACAAACGTTTCCAGTGACTGGTGTAAACTGTTGCATAGTTTTGGAAGGCTTTCTCGTTCTGTCCAGAAATTTTTCATCAGTTGAGGAGCACAGATTGTTCAGTATTTGAGCTCCCCAGGGAGCTCAAAGCTCTTTCTCGACAGACGCTTCTCCGCATTACCCTGCTTTGATGGGAAGTATGAGAGCTGCTCTCTGCTCACAAGGAGAGGATCAAGGAGCACAAGCCCAGGGACAGCAAGGGGCACCAGGTGTCCACAGGACAGAGGAGGGGACGGGGCTCAGTACTGCCCCTGGAATTGCCGCAGTGCAGCCCCTGGCCTCTCATGCACCCGGACGGCATCGCTGCAATGCCATGTGGACTGCTTCCTCCACGTGATCAAATGGATGCATTTCTTGCAGCAAGCTTCTTACAAGAGTTCTTTAGGTCTTGCTGAGAAGACTTACTTTTACAGAGAGAAGATGGGATGCTCGTGCTCTTATTTCTGGTCTGACCTTTACACCAGGAGTGCTGGGATGTGCAAAGGTCATGGGGTGATATCAGGGCTTGGAGCCCGGGACACCAGGGTGAAATGATTGCTGGGAGAGGGCATGTCCCACAGCTGCTGGCCGCCTCAGCGTTTCTCAGCAGAGTCCTGGGACGTGGGAGCAACAGAGATCACATGGATCACGTGGATGATGAGCACGGTGGCTTGTGGCCCTGCACGGACCATGGGCTAGGCACTGCCAAGTGGGGGAAGCCTTTGCCACAGGTGCTAGCCAGCTGCTGCTCTCTTGAGCAGGAGAGGTGTGGGGTGAACGAGACAGGCCAAGTCATATAGCCATGTAACGTGGCCGATGCCAAAGTTTCAGGGCTGCCAGTGGCCCAGGGTGGCCTCGTGCACAGACCCCAGCTAGCATGGCTGGCTCCGCAGGCCCGAGGCTGCTCCCTTCAGTGCTCACCTTGGAGCCAGGAGCGCAGGGTGTGGGACTCACAGTACCTGGGCTGCAAACCAGGAGAAAGCAACACAGGAGCTCCAGTCCTCAGCTGGTGGCCAGGAGTCAGCGTGCCCAGGCAGGGCCCGGCCACCCCGACTCAGTGTGCACTTGCTGCTGGGGGCCCCGGCAGAGGCAGGCTCTGGGCCCCTACTTGGCCTCCACCAGCTGCTCTAGGCGCCGCAGCATCGTCAGACGCAGAGCTTGGAACCTGGAGGAAGACACAGTCGAGAGGACTCTCTGAGGCTGGGGGGCAGGGAGGTGGGGGCAGAGCGAGGGGTCACAGGTGCCTGGTTCAGGAGAACACTGCTCCCGACTGGCTGACCAGGAGGAAGAGCCTGGCCTGCTTCCTCAGACACAGCCTGAGCCGCGTGAAGCTTTAAAGCAAAATGTCACCATTTCCATTCCAAAGACTCCAGTATATGGGCGATGGAGTGGGTGGTGGAAGAGCAGGCGTCAGGAAGCCTGTGTCCCAGCCGAGCTCTGCGGTACCCTGTGCTGCCACCCCTCTCGTCCTGGGCGTCGGGGTCCTCTCTGTGAACCAAGTAGTCTGACCAGGTGATCCCCCGGTCCCTTCAGCTCTAAAACCCTACAGTGACACAACTGGCTGCACAGTGGCCAGTCCCCATGATTGCCGTGGGGGGAGAGGGAGGGTCTCCAGTGAATCCCTGGGCTGACCTGTCTGCACAGAGGAAAGCCTGGGGCAAAATGTGTTTTCCAGGGGTCATTCGGCCTGAAGCCAGTGTGCAAACCAGTCCCTGAGCAGCAAGTCCTCTCCTTACTAAGGCAGACTCCCCGGGCCCTGGCTGAGTGTCCACTTCCTGTCATACCAGGCTCCACCTTGCCAAAGGACAGACACATCAGGACCCACAGCTCCTAACCTCACACAGCTCCTGCCTTCCCCAGGAGCCAGGCCAGCAGGTGACACGGCTCACCTTTCCATGGACCTGGTCTCCTGCGCCTGAAAGTGTCAGCTGGTGCAAGAATTCCAACAACCACTATTTTTTGGCAGCCTCAAGGATTCTGGCAAAGTCCCAGACCAGGCTGAGTCTACATCCAGCCGGTCCCCTCCTCGGTTGCTTTTCCAGAGCCCTGTCGCCAGCAGAACTCAAAGCTCGATCTAGCGCCCACCCATGCTCCAGCCTGACTCCTGCCCAGGTTTCTGTGACTTGTGTCCCGTGCTGGTGAAGATGCCGAGGCTGGATGGGCTGCATCGTTGCCATTTTGGCAGACTGTCACCCCAGCTTGGTGTCAATACTAAGCAGAGGGGCCAGAGGGCCATGCCAGGGAGCCAGGATGAGCAGGGCTCCCGGCACTGCGAGGGCTGCCGGTGAGAAGCCGCCCCAGCCGGCGATGGTACTGTGCCGTGTGGACTCGCCCTGATGTTCGGGCCCACGCTGGCTGTAAGTGCTGCTTACTTCATGGTCAGTTTGATTATTTCTCTTTCCTCCTCTTCTTTTAACTTTTCAACAAAACTGTCCAGCACTGGCATTTCAAACTTAATGTACTGAGCGACCTAGAAAATCCAAGAACATTTTAATGTGCTTTAAATTAGGAGCCAAGATGTGTTTTCTTCTCCTCATGGCTTCCACAGTGGCCGATCCGGCCAACGTCTGGTATCCAGGACAGCAGCTGCCCCCTGCCCACCCGGCCCAGCACTGCTCTGCTGTGTACAGGAGGGAGGATTCTTATCTCGAAGGCATTATCCCTGGGAGGAAATAGTAAGCTGAATATTAGGAAGAGCATTCAGTGTTGCTGCCTGGTCACACGGGGTTCTCTGTGGGTGGGGCTGGGATTGGTGGGACCACCATTGTTTCTAACAATGGAGTGAAACTGCACCAGCCTGGGAACAGCCTGAGGGATACAGGGCCACCAGGCCTTCCCTGCAGTCTAAATCCTTAGGCCTCTGCTATACAGAGGAGTCTGCAAATGTTCTCTGTGTCTAGCCAGGACCTCGGCTGTCCCTGAAACAGACACCTCCCTTGCTTCCACAGGTCTTGGTCAGGCCCTGGTCAGGCCCTGATCAAGTCCTGGTCGGGCCCTGGTCAAGTCCTGGTCAGGCCCTGGTCAGGCCCTGGTTAAGGAACTCTCGTGTGAGTCTTTAATGCAGTGACAACATGGATATTCCAGTGAAGGATGAGGAAAAGGACAGGACCATGGTTTTCCAGGGCCAGGTTCTCGTGTCCCCTAATCCAGCCAATGGAGCTGGTGGCCACTGATAGGAAGAGGTAAGACTGGGGCCATCACTGCTCTTGGCTTGGGGTCCCTGGAGACATTGCCTGAGAGGGCTCTGGCCAAGGTTGCCTTCAGAAGCCCTAGGAAGCTCCCATGTTGCCCCCTGGCTCCCCTGGAGAGCAGGTCTCCCTGGATCTCAACCCACTCACGTCATGGGGGACTTCCACGCCCAGGTCGGCTTCCATCAGGAACATCCTGGCGATCTTCTCGCACGGCCCATGCAGGATCCTGGAAATCAGTGGGTACTCACAGTCTTTTAATTTTGTTCGTTCTGCAAAAGAAGGTGGTTTACAAATTCTCGGGCTGTTAGGATTGCCTTCCTGCTCGAGGACAGGTGCTGATAGAAAACGTGTGCCCAGTGGAAATGGATGCTCATCTGTTGACGGTAACACGTATAGTATCCTCAACTGGACTGGTGCAAAGTGTATTCGTGGTGGGTAAATTCACTTTACAAGCTCAATGATGTACAGTGATTGAATGGATAAGATAAAATATAAAATAAATAAAATAAAATGTGTGGAGTCTGGGGAACCTTCTGCAGATCTTGCCAAGAATGCCACCCTGAGATGTGTGTGACTGCTGAAGGGAGGCCGATCTGCCACCCTGACATACAGAACTTCAGCAGCCGAGCAGAGGCCGATACTGCAAAAGCTCTCTGCCCTCCCCCATCTGCCCCAAAGCAGGACATAACCTGGTAAATGGGTCTCCTCTCCCTTCTCTGCCAGGAAGGACAAGTTTCTCATCAGAGACAACCTTAGACGCCAGAGAATCTGCGCAAACCCTGCTGAAAGCAGCCCTGCTCTCCCGTTAGGTCTTCCTTATACTGAAGCATGCCCCTCAGCCCCTGGCACACACATACCATCGCTACCCCGGAAGCTCAAGACCCCTGTCCTTTCTTTTGTCTCTTGTCTAAGATGTCGTGTTTGGTTAAGATGTCATATAAGCCCCACCTCTTTGAGGAACTCATCCCTGACTGCTCCTGGTGTGTGATTGATGCCCATGGGAATACATTTCTCGCTGTTCTTCTCTCGTTAATCTGACTTTTTGTCAGTCTAATTGCTGGGCTCCAGCCAGTGCACCTAAGATGGTGGAAGGAAGGATTCTCTCCCCCTGCTATGCTGTCATTCAGCCAAGGCCTGACTTGGAGAGGAACAGGAGCCCAGGGTGGGAGAGAGGAAAGCAGAGGGGAGGGCAGGGCATGCTCAGTTTCTAGCAGAACTAAGAGGGACCAGCAGGCTTTGCAGCAGCAGCTCTGTCTCGTGCCCCTTGACATGCCCCCGTGCCATGGCAGGGAGCTGGAGGACCATTCATCTCACTTGAAGAGGCTGGAGAAGCAGCTTCCCATACAGTTCTGGTGGGTTCTGAGAGGGATGGCAGGGGTGCCTGGGTTGGGGCTGCGGGGAAAGGCTGGTAGTGGGAGGCATAGGGTATCCCAGGGTGAGAAGGGTTAGCTGCCCTGAGCCCAGCAGCAAGCCATCTCAGGCCCCCTTGGGAAGGGATCCAGTCATGGAGCTTGCTGAATGGACGAACCTTTGCTTTTGCATTCCAGGAGCAGAGGCGCGTGGCACTTACCCCCAGACTCATGGACGATGTAGAGTGCAAACTCGCTGGGGCCATCTTCTACCTGCGCAGGCAGTCACAGGAAGTCAGCCTTGGCTTTTTGAGATGAGAGCAAAAGAAGGTCTCCTGGCAGTAACCACACCCCCGATGTCACCCACAGTCACCAAGCCCCTCCCTTGTTTCTGCTAGAAGTCCCAGAGACACCAGCTCAGCAGAGGAAACTGCTAGGCTTCTAATCGAGAGCCATGGGCAGCTTTCTCTGGTCTTCTTACCTCTCCCGCCAGTGAAGGACGTGCCCCCAGTGGGAGTGGGGATGGGACACTGCTGGAGGCCAGACTTACCCTGAACTTGTTCAGCAGCAGGGTGAGCACTTGCAGGGTTGTCATGGTGCTGTTGACCCTCACGTTGGTCACGGACCCATAGGCAGGAGTGAACACGGAGGTCTGTGTGGGCAGGGGCTGGTTCAGGGCAAATGTAGCGGGGTCTTGGGCTGAACAGACCCGAGCAGCAGGTGGACCTGGGATCTAGGAACACCTGCTCCTGTCCATTTCAGGCGGTCCCGCATGCAAGCTGTTTCTAGAGCAGGGGGCACTTAGGAAGCCATGTTAGCTCACATCCTACAAAAGACCCTTCAGAAGGTGCCTACAGATGTGTAAGGGTCAGCTCTCTAGGTTCTAAAAACCAGGGTCCTGGAGGTCATTCACAAGGGATGGGAGGACCCAATCCTTCCTACTCTTTCTGTCAAGCAAGTCACAACGTGTCTGTTGATTCTAAGGCCAATTGTAGGCCAATCTATCCCCTCCTCTCCGTCCTCCTGGTGGGCCCTCATGGAGGCGACACCTAAAACCTATGGATTACCCTGTTGGTGCTGGGTATCCCAGCAAGTGTGATTCCTCTGCGGTAAACAACTTCTTGCTTTCCAAAACCAAGTTCAAGTGCACACACTCCTCTATGGTCCTCACTCTTTCCTTAGGAGATTACTGGGGCTCAGGGTCCTTAAGGAACCTGTTGAGTATCCCCAGCTGATCCCCATCAGGGGTTCCAGAGACAGACTCCCACTTAGACCTGCTTCCTCCATAGTTGACTTCAGGTTAGACAGAAAGGCAGGATTAGGCTTTCGGTTCTCAGGAAGCACAGAATAGAGGAGGCAGGCTGTTACAAAGAGACAAGGTCTTGTCAACAAGATATTGTCCTGCTTCTCCACGAAGCTGTTTCTCAAGATGGCACCAAGCCACTCCAAGTAGGAACAAGGGTCCCGAGGCTGCTTTCCCATCTCTAACCATGACTTCTCTCTAACAGAACACATTTCGATCCCACTGGTCAGGGCAAAGCAGCAGTAACAACTACCGAGTTTAGCCCAGTCTGGAGCAACTCCCGAGTTTAGCCCCGTCTGGAGCAGTCCTGCAGCCTGGAACAGCTGGACAAAGGACCAAGTGAAATGACAGTGCACAGTTCTAAGACATCCCAGGAGTCAACTCTTTTTCCATTGTTGTCTGTGACTCAAGGAATCTGTGTCCTGCTTTCTTTCTTTTTTCCTTTTTTTTAAGAGAGATTTTTGCTATAGGGCGTGTGCGCTCACCAGAGAGACAGAAAGCAATAAATCACCCTCCCAGTGGGTATGGCCATGCCTCAATCCTTTCTCCTTTATTCTCCTGTTGAGATTTTTGGGCACGCACATGTACCCAGCATGAGTTTTAAGCTGTTGGATCCGGGACTCGAACCACAGTCAACTATGTGGGAGTTCAGCAACGTAACTATCATGCCATCTGCTGGTCCCTGCACCCTACTTTCTAAGCACACTAATTCTGTCTCGATGAGAGTGAGGTGGACAGAGGGCTGTTGTGTAGGGTTTCTGTTTGAGAGCCCCTCACTCAGCTGGAAGATAAAAACCACTGTCCAAAATGCCCACGGTCCAATTCCATGTCCCGAAGGCAGTACACTGCCTGGGAGAGTGGATCCGCTTTCCATGAGTAAATGTGTCACTAGGAGGAAAAGCTGCCCTGACCAGGTTACAGGCTGAGTAGTCCTGCCTGGAAGGGGGCTTAGTGGACATGAAAGGATGTGATGAGAACCCTCACTGCTCACCACGAAGGTCATGGAGCGCTCGAGACACCCTGTGCTTGTGACACTGGCAATGACTAAAGCGAGGCGCAGAGCCAGACAGACTTCTCAGAGGTGAGTGACGTCAGGGCGCCAGGGCTAACCCCCTATTCAGCACCTGGCGCAAGACTCGAGGTGGAGCAAGCTTTCTTTTTTAGGAACACAGTACTGGAAAGAGCCTAAACTCACACAAATGTCCTTTGGAAATTTTTGAGTAATTTCCTAAAATAGTATGCCAATATTTATTCAAATACTAGTAACTGGTACTTAACATTTTACAGACTAAATACCCTCTGGAATGAGATTGAAAATATAACCAGGTCATAGTGTGGTTCCTTTGGCCTACCTACACCCTTCTCAATCTCTGCTTACCCTCAACCCTGGCTCCTTCTTCAGTCTCTCTCTACTTGCTGGATTTTCTTGGGCTTAGCAAAGGTGACCCCATGGTCATTCATTAATGCTTATTGCAGGGCTGGCCTCATGACCCAGTGGTTAAGGGGATGGCCAGCTGGAGTTTGAACCCCAGTCATGGAGGCTTGAAAACCATGCCAAGCGCATGTGTGTGCGTGTCTCAAGCCCACGGAATGGAGAGATGGAGAAGGGTGCTTTCTCCCTCTCCTCTTCTCTCTCTCTGTTTCTTTGGCCTGAAAATGTGCCCTCTTGCAGAATCAAAATAAAAAGCACTGCAAACCTAGTGGGAAGGGAGGTTTCTGAGGTTAAAATGAGATCCCTTCAATTTGTGGAGCCTAGTTCATTTTGATCTTAAAGTCCCAGGGACCCCCAGTGGCTTGAATAGTCCCTGAAGGTGGAACCTGGGCTACCTGCACCTCCAGATCTGACCTCGCAACCTCCCCGTGCCCCCTCCTCGGGCCCCTTCTGCTTCCATGAGTCAGCCTCTATCAAGGCCAGCTGCCTACGCTGCAAGCCTCTGCTTTATTCCAGCACGGCAGGATACGGCCTGTGACAGGACACTCCATCCAGGGCCGCGCCTACTTGCCACTCATGCCGTTTATAGTAACAACCAACTTCTCCTTTTACAGTTCCGTTTGTTTACAGGATGATGTCATCTGGGGAAGGCGATCTTTTCCTGAGGTCAGTACAATGCCTGCTTGGACAAAAGGCGGAGTGCTGGGAATCAGGGGCCCGTCAGGTTCTCTGGGATAGGACACACGTGTCCCTGGGCACACCTCAATTAGTGGCTTAGTTTACCCACCCAGTGAGATACGCGATGTTCCCACAGAACAATCAGTTGAGCTCTGGTGGAAACCTTGCGGAAAGTGACCTCCTTCGAGATGAAC